ACATCAGCAATCTACCAGCTCACTAATTTAAACCAACATCACCCCCTCCCCCTACTCTAGTAATTAAAACTTCTAATACAGGCTCTGTCTAATTAACTACGTCATTATCTATTATACGCACGAGCAAGATTACAAGCTGTAGCTGCGGTTTTCAAAAAATGAAATCCTAATGGAGAAAAAAAATTGTGCAAATTTTTTTCGAAGCTTTAACTATAAGACATAATAGAACTCGAATTTCTGAATAAAAAAAAATCCCCATACAAAAAAAGCTAGGTCGGCTCATCACCCCCCCCCCCCCCCCCCACCATCTTAAACATACCTCATCTCCGCCTATTACCAGTTCCCCCATAATCCCCCTATCCCCATTCTCCAAGTGAAGTTGGAAATCAGTCATTGGCCCTATTAAAATACTCCCGTCTTTTAATCTTATCACGTAGAGAAAAAAAACCTCGCCCCCTCCTCGCATCGTGTACACTACGATCAAAGTAACTCACGGCTGAAAACTTTCTCAATGGGTCACGTGATCCGGGGGGACGACTCTGACCTAATTTGGTGGAGTCAGTGGCACGGAAACAGGAGCGTGCACCTGGCGCAGGGGCATTAATTGGTTGGACAGGGAGGTCATTAATTGGTTGGACAGGGAGGTCATTAATTGGTTGGACAGAGAGGTCATTAATTGGTTAAACAAACAGGTCATTAATTGGTTGGACAGAGAGGTCATTAATTGGTTGGACAGAGAGATCATTAATTGGTTGGACAGGGAGGTCATTAATTGGTTGGACAGAGAGGTCATTAATTGGTTAACAAACAGGTCATTAATTGGTTGCACAGAGAGGTCATTAATTGGTTGGACAGAGAGGTCATTAATTGGTTGGACAGAGAGGTCATTAATTAGTTGGATAGAAAGGTCATTAATTGATTGGACAGAGAGGTCATTAATTTGCTGGACAGAGAAGTCATTCATTGGTTGGACAGAGAGGTCATTAGTTGGTTGGATAGAAAGGTCATTAATTGGTTGGACAGGGAGGTCCATTAATTGGTTGAACAGGGAGGTCATTAATTGGTTGGACAGATAGGTCATTAATTGGTTGAACAGGGAGGTCATTAATTTGGTTGGACAAAGAGGTCATTAATTGGTTGGACAGATAGGTCATAGAGGTCATTAATTTGGTTGGACAGAGGTCATTAATTGGTTGGACAGAGGTCATTAATTGGTTGGACAGAGGTCATTAATTGGTTGGACAGAGAGGTCATTAATCGGTTGGACAGAGATGTCATAATTTGGTTGGACAGAGAGGTCATTAAATGGTTGGAAAGAGAGGTCATTAATTGGTTGGTCAGAAAGGTCATAGAGGTCATTAGTTGGTTGGACAGAGAGGTCATTAATTGGTTAGACAGAAATGTCATTAATTGGTTGGAAAGAGAGTTCATTAATTGGTTGGAAAGAGAGGTCATTAATTGGTTGGTCAGAAAGGTCATAGAGGTCATTAGTTGGTTGGACAGAAAGGTCATTAATTGGTTAGACAGAAAGGTCATTAATTGGTTGGAAAGAGAGGTCATTAATTGGTTGTACATACAGGTCATTAATTGGTTATACAGAGAGGTCATTAATTGGTTGGACAGGGAGGACAGAGAAGTCATTAATTGGTTGGACAGAGAGGTCATTAAGTGGTTGGACATACAGGTCGTAGAGGTCATTAATTTGTTGGACATACAGATCATAGAGGTCATTAATTGGTTGGACATACAGGTCGTAGAGGTCATTAATTGGTTGGACAGAGAAGTCATTAATTGGTTGGACATAAAGGTCATTAATTGGTTGGACAGAGAGGTCATTCATTGGTTGGACATAGAGGTCATTAATTGGTTAGACAGATGGGTCATTAATTTGGTTGGACAGAGAGGTCATTATTTTGATGGACGGAGAGGTCATTATTTTGATGGTCATTAAGCTGTTGGATAGAGATCATTAATTTGGTCGAGAGTGAGGTAATAACTTTGTATGACAAAAACGCCATTTAGATGTTGGATAAAGGCCAAAAGGTCAGTGCTCTTTCACTTGTAATTCATTTATTTTTTAAAACTCAGGTAATTAATTAATTAGATCAATAAAGCGGCAATGAATTGTCTCAAAGTAAATAACTTAATTTTTAGAACATAAAAAAGTCATTAATTTTCTCGAAATAGATTATTAATTTACCTGTTCAACATTGAGCAATCATGATTGTGCGAATAATAAATATAAAATCGTATTTATTGATTGTATCTCCGTTACTTCCTGACACAAATTGTTTAAACGGACCCAGATATAGGGCTGGTAAGTAGGTCACCAACCAGTTCTATGGCTCATGTAGGTTTTATTGAGACGTAGAAATGGTTGGTGACCTACTTACCAGCCCTATACCATTAGATCTAGCCGCAGTTTTAATATATTCCCAACTGTAATATAACCCATCCTCTTCTTTTTCATTGTTGTTTTTTAAAATACCAAATAAGTCGACTCGTTACAGAATTATTCGTCCACAAACACTACACTATGGATAAACTCATTTAATTATATCAGTGCAGCAGCATTTATCGTTCTTTACATCCAGGGTTTCTTTCGGAAATTTTTCTCATGATGTGTGTGTGGTGGGGGGGGGCATTTAAAACGTTCGGGAGAGGAGGGCGCACTAAAAAAAGGTCCCGAGGGGGTGTGATGGATGCTGGTTAAATTATATATTTTCTGTATAGATAATATATTTTACATTTCGACCGGGGGGGGGGGGGGAGGGGGGAATGGGCGGTAGACGTGACCCCCCCCCCTTTAAATGCAAAGAAGAAATGCCTGAAAGATACTCTCTTTACATCTAGGTTAATAAACTTTTTCTCTCTACACTATATTTACATACAATTTTATAAACTGACGCTTTTCTTTACTTTTTTTCCTTACTTTGGGTAACTAGAATTTAAAAGTACATAAAATATAACCGTTTTAGAATCCTAATACCCCAAAACACATAGCAGTGATCCTTTGTTTGCTAAAGGTTAAAAAAATAACGCCGTAGTCTCGCGGTGTCTCGTACGTCTCCAAGTCTCGCTTTTGTTCCGGTATGTCACACTAAGTCAAATACTAGGGACTTAGGTTTTTTTTTTACTGTCAGTTTCTTCACGAATGTTGGCCCCAAACATCACGGGCCTTGTTTGACAAGCAGACAAATGACAGAAAACAGACAAACCCATCTGTGACAGGTGTCTGGTTTTGGTGTGGTGTGTCTGTCCTGTCTGGTTTGGTTTTTGTGTGTTTGTTTAGAGGTTAGGGAAGAGAAAATACGGTAGCAGTTTACAAGAAAATACGACTAAAATTAAACTTATGTATTGTCTAGTTTAGTTTTTGTGAGTTTGTTTAGAGGTTAGGGAAAAGAGAATACAGTAGCGGGGTATAAGAAAACACGACTAAAATTATGTGTTGTCTAGTTTAGTTTTTGTGTTTGTGTTTGTTTAGACGTTAGGGAAAAGAGAATACGGTAGCAGTGTACTAGAAAACACGACTAAAATTATGTGTTGTCTAGTTTAGGTTTTGTGTGTTTGTTTAGAGGTAAAGGAAAAGAGAATAGGGTAGCGGTGTAGAAGAAAAGACGACTAAAATTATGTTTAGTTTATTTTTAAATTAATATATAGTAATAAACTGGCGGGTATTATAAAGCTTTGACAATAGCGGTAGGGGTGAGGGTATTGGTGTGTGATGGGTGTGTATGTTTAGGGGAGGGGGTGTTGTTTCATTATATGTATGTGTGAGTACAGGATTTTTGAACAAGGATGTCTCGCCTATAGACAATATATGTGTGTCTGTATATATATATATATATATATATATATATATATATATATATATATATATATATATATATATATATATATATATATATATATATATATATATATATATATATATATATATATATATATATATATATATATACATATACATACATACATACATGTAGATGTATCCATTTAAAGAAGTAGGAATTGATTGGACCCATTAAAGTTGCTAGTTAAAAGTAGTGAGACAATAAAGTAAGAAAAGTCCCGTTTCAGACCTAACAATCCATATGGCAAATGAGGTAGGGTTTAACTTAGTTTAAGTTTCTTGACCTCAGAATATGAAGGAATAATATAGTCAGCAATATGCCGAACCACCTCAGTGTTTCCCTGACGTGAGTCAGGTATCCATCACATTTGGAGGACTCAAGAAAAGTCCTACAGTCTCGAGATCCGAACTCGAGACCCTCAGACTAGCAGTCGAGCGCTCTACCGCCCGACAAAGTCAACCCGAGGAAAGCTAAACCAAAGAGTAAAATATCCCCCAACAAGACTGTACCCATCTCATTGTTACGACGTCATAAGTGACAGAGCACTCGACCGCCATCATGACGAACAAACAGGGGATGTCACTCTCATTGCTGGCACACTGTGAAGGGAGACTACTGGCCCCGTTCCCAGACATTGAGGGGAAATAACTTCATTATTTTCTCTGTAGTTTAATCATAAGTCGCCCATAGCAGAACGGATGGCTAGTCATTGTGGAATATTTTAAATGGATGTTTCGTTGTGTACAGTGTTTCTTCCACTTTTTTTCTCCGGAATGGGGGGGGGGGGGGGGGGGGGGGGGGGGAAGGGCACATGAAATTCTAAAATTTTCGAGGGGGGCGGTGGGGGGGGGGGGGGGGCTGACACTGTTAGAAGTATATTTTCTATATTAATTCAGTTTCGTTCGAGGGTGGGAGCGGGGGGGGGGGGGGGAAAGCGGAGATGCCTGGAATAAACTCTGGTTGTGTATTAGCAACATTAGGGCTCTTGATTGGTGGGGTGGGGTTGGGGGAGGGGAGCTTTAAAAATCTTCAAAGGCTTGTAGGGATATAAACAAAAGTACAAATAATCAAAAGCTTAATTTAATTTAATATAATATAACAGAATATAATATACGATGTTATAACACCCAGTGCCAACCTACACACCTGTAAAAGGACAGCCTAGAAGTCCCGCCCTCATGGCGATCTTCCCCTTCCACTCTACGGGCTGGAACCGGACGTAGCGGGCCACGAATGGGCTGTTGAGGAAGTGGATTCTGGGAGTGTCCTTGTCCGAGTTGCCTCCAAACAACTGAGGAGCCGGAGGAGGAGGAGGAGGAGGAGGAGAAGCGACGGAGGAAGGAGACAGAGCCGAAGAGGCAGAGAGAGAAAACACATTTGATTAGTTTATTGTATATTTCATTTCAATATGGTAAACAAAAAAAAAGTATTCAAAATAAAAGTATACAAAATAAAGATATACATAATCAGAATATCAGACATAGATATAAACAAACATTTAATGATTGTGAGAAGAACAATCATTTAAAGTGCTGTGTGACTGAAAAATTGTGAAAAAAAAAATAAACAATGCAACACAAAAACACTGTGCTGATGAAGAAATAGGTCAGCACACACAATGCAGTGACGTCACAAGTGCATAGAATGCTGACGTGTTAAACAATGTGCGCATGATGGAACGACGTCATCAAAAGGGGTGGAGACTACCCTAACTAGCACATCAGGTCAACGGGTACAAGGAATGCTACGACCCATGCCTCCCTACGATTTCACAATGGGGTATTCTCCACAACGACTAGGGGGCACTAGGAACATCAATGCAAGGGGTGGACGATATACTACATTTAACACAGAACATTTAGGCATGCTTTGTTCGCCTGCTTATAAATATTTGTAAAATTTATTTTAAAAGTTTAGAAAATTTTAGAAACTATTTTTTATTCATTTTTTTTTGGGTAAGATAATTAAAAATTTTTAAAAAAAAAAGTATTTTATCAACATTAAGTTTTTGATATTGGTATCATTACATTTATTTTGAAATGTTACTTTTTTAAAAACGTAATGCAAATTATTAAATCGATTATTTGGTCGCGTGCAAGCGGTTATACGTGCAGTGTCGACACTTATAGTGTCTATTGCCAGATTTTTTCTAATCAAAACCGGAAGTTGCGACGAAGATCTGGCACGAAAAGCGGGAACAATGTTCAAATTTCACGGGAGGTAACTCTCAGTTCAATGTGCACGGCCAGTTAGTGAGTTGCGGTTATTTCGTTAGTAAGTTTTGTTAAGCTTTGGCTAAAATGATCTTTTGTTTTTTAAGTTTTGTTATTTGTTACTTCTACAACTGTTAAAACACAATCTGCTAGTAAATTAGTTGAGAAAAATCATTTAGAACTGTTACACTTTTTTTTTTTACTTTTACATTAGAAGCTCTCAAAATCTCAATTGTAGTAAACGTGAATATTAGAGAGAAAAATTTGCTAGTAAAATTGTTTGAAAAAAAACATGAATTGCTACTTGAGAAGGAATGGAATATTGCTTTTTTTCAATGAATTATTGGGTTTCTATACTTAAAATTTTATGTCGAAATTTTATTATTATTGATAAAATGCACGTTTGCGAACTGAACTTAATACAAATGTAATTGTTTGATTTGTTAATTATTTAATCTTTAAAAAAAAAATGTCTAAACTGCTTATTTTATTCGAATAAGGTAAAAATTATCTAAAAACTTTTTCAATAATATATTTAATCAACGGTAACTTTTTTTTTAAACATTGAGTTAATAGGCTACATTCATGCGTGTTTGCAGATAGCTCCAGGATACATTCAACTACAAACCGGAACTATTTTTTTCAAACCGTACATCACTTAGCTAGTGGAGTTTTGTAGGGGTGAGTCTCATGCAAGACTAACATGCAAAGGCGAGCTTAAGGTACTGGACAATCATGCGTCACAGACATGCGCAGTGGTGCGTTGGTGCGTGCAAGGTGCAAAAAGGTGTGCACGTGCGTAGGTGAGCGATACAGGTACAGGCAGCTCACGTGCTAGAGACAGACAGGTCGTGAGACCGGTGAGTTGGTTAAAGCAAAACAGAGGCTCGAAAGTCACGTGATACGAAGGCGGTTCTCATTAGGGAGGGGTGAGTGGGCGTGGCTGTAATTAAAGTGTAAGAAGGCTGATGGAAAAGAAAAAAAGGGGGGGGGTCTTTTTACTTTAAATTAATAAATTTGTAAAAAAAAACAATTTTAAATTGGCATAAAATATTAAATAGCGATGGAGATCATTATATTTAAATAATAATTGAAAGATTTTCGTACATGTTTTATGATTTTAAAAATAAATTATATAATGATAGTGAAATGGTCATTTAAAAACAATTTGTGGGGAAGGTAGTTTTAAAAAAAAAAGAGTATAATTTATTTATTTAGTTCATGTCACGTAACTTTCAAGTCCTATATCACTGCACTACTTATGTTATACGCTGATGCAGTTAACACTAAAATGCAACATGTTAAACAAATAACTACTGGCCAATCAGGCAAATTACTTATGTGTATATATATATATATATATATATATATATATATATATATATATATATATATATATATATAATATTGTTTTGCCCGATGGTCTCAAAAATGGTTTACATATAAACACATATTAAATATTTATCTAAAACAAACGTTAAGGTTATATTATAAATTATGCTTGCTATTCATTCATTAATATCTCAGTAAGCTTTCTTGATATTTTCTATGTCGAAAACATCAACACGCACAAAACCCAACTGGGTAGTGGGTGTTCATGGAACAAAGCTTATGTTTGCCTACAGTATGAAAGAGCAAGCCAAATAAACTACATGTTATAGAAGCATTTTTTTTTTACCTACACTGAAACAACATCTAGTTTTTTTTTCTATCTGCAAGACAATAGAAACTTGAAAAAATATTTCATTGCAAACATTAATGTGGCGTCGAGGGTTTCTTCTCTTGGATTTTTAGTTGGGATATTTTTAGGAATTTAATTACGTACCTGAGTCCTTTAAGTAACATACATATGTATTTTATAATTTACAAGACGGGAATAGAACCATAGTTTTAAGTTTCTTTCTTTGCCATTTTTAATTTTTTAAAATATAAATCATTTGAGCAAAAACATAATATAAACCGTGGTTATTGCCCTTTTACTGTTTACATTTCATTAAAAAGAATAGTTTTTTGACGACTTTTTTTAATGTACAGTATGTAAGAAACATCTAATATGTAAAAACTACCTTTCGTTTTAACCATAGATGGCTATGAAATAAGTGTATAAAAATCAGCTAATTTTGTTAAAAATAAAAATGATCACTTTGCACTAATTGGGGCTGGTCAGAATTTTTTGTTATTATAATAGTAGTTGTATATATTACTCGGAGTTTTAAAAATAGTTATGATGTTTGCAAAAGCCCTTAAAACTAAAAGAATTTATTATTTCGCAACGAACCTTTAAAAAATGGGTCTAGGAAACATCTAAATATAACTCCTAGAAAAGTAGGTCAAACGGAAAGTGGGGCGCACAGAAAGTAGGTCGCACAGAAAGTAGGTCTCACGAAAAGTAGGTCGCATGGAAAATAGGTCAAAATTACAGTAAATGTAGGTTAACTCTAGGACTCAGGTACGACTACACAAGACACTGGGGGGTCTACTGAGAGGGGGGGGGGGTCGGCTCTGTGCATTGTGCTTTCATCTTACCAGTCCGCTTTCCGAGTATTTGTCAGGAATTAATTGCGAGGAGGTTGTATTAAGAGATGGACTCCATAGCCAACGACTCTAGAAAGATCAGATTTGTAGCATGGTTAAGGATTAACATTAGAGAAAAAAAATTCATTAGATGTCAAATGAAGAAAAAAAATTGAAAAAAAAAAAATCTGGCGCGGGCACATGGAGTTGTCAGGAATCCTGCGGGCGTTGTATAGGAGTGACTAAAACATATTTGACTGACTAAAACATATTTGACTGACTAAAACATATTTGACTGACTAAAACATATTCGACTGACTAAAACATATTCGACTGACTAAAACATATTCGACTGACTAAAACATATTCGACTGACTAAAACATATTTGACTGACTAAAACATATTTAACTGACTAAAACATATTTGACTGACTAAAACATATTTGACTGACTAAAACATATTTGACTGACTAAAACATATTTGACTGACTAAAACATATTTGACTGACTAAAACATATTTGACTGACTAAAACATATTTGACTGACTAAAACATATTTGACTGACTTAAACATCCCAGTAACTAAAACACATAAGACTGACTAAAACACTAAGGCACATTGGACTGACTAAAACACATAAGACTGACTAAACACATACGACTGGCTAAAACACATACGACTGGCTAAAACACATAAGACTGACTAAAACACTGACTAATGCACATTGGACTGACTAAACATATAAGACTGACTAAAACACATACGACTGACTAAAACACAAATGACTGGCTAAAACTTATCCCTGTGACTAAAACACGTGCTAATGACTACAAAACTTCACTGTGACTAAAACACATACGACTGATTAAAATACACCCCCCCTATTGATTAAAACATACCCAGTGACTAAAACAGATCCCATTGACATTATACACTCATACAACTAAACCACGCGAAAGTGACTAAAACAAATCTCAGTAACAAAGGCTTATTCCAGAGACTAAAACACAATTCGCAACACACTTCGCGGTAATTGAAACGTATCTAAACACACAACAACAAAAACATCACGAATACTACTTCACAATTGTGTTACTTGTGTTCACCTACTAAAACAAAACATCCACAAGCAACATATGGACCCACACGTTTTTGTGTTATATTTACATTTGTATACATATAAATTGTTTTCAATTTCATAGCTACTTATATTAACATGGTAGAATACTTGATCACACAGTTATAAATAAATTTTGTTAAGTCATTAATTGCTTACAGTAACACAGCATTAGTAAAGCGCCTAACTCAATCGAGGCTTGAATTAACATGATACATATACATCATGACTAAGATAATTGGCTTGTAATTAAAAATGGTTAATGAATAGGCCTTCAGGCGATTGTTTACATAAAGTTAGGCTGGTGTTCTAAAGGAAAAAAGGTGTTTTTTTGTGGTGTTAACGTTAAACACACCTTAGGTTAATTATACATTGGACACACACGAAGCTTTAGGTTTTAATTATAGAACGGAATTCGATTAACGAAGCGACGCGGTAAAAAAAAAAAATTGTAGTTATCGTTACTTGATCGCAAGGGACCTTGAGTTATCGTTACTTGTTCGCAAGGGGCTTTTTAGAACATTTATTTTTTTTAAATGCGAAAAAATAAAAAAACTTTTTTTTCGTATTTTTAAAATCTATCCCACGTCGACAAGAACGAGCACACAGCACTATTGAAGACAATAAATACGTTTAAAAAACAAATTCTCTTTTTAAACAAGATACGATTGAATAAATACTAAATACCAACACGAATTTATCTCAACAGAAATATCACGAAAACACTTCAAACGTAATATAAATATAGTATCCTTTAAACAAAAATGTGTTTAATATAAATCTATGTATTGAAAATAGTCTCGTAGATAAAAAATGTTTTAAAATATGTAGAGGAGCTTTCAAACATGAAAGCAGTAAGATTGAAACACTGCATTCTTATTCAAGTATCATCAATAGTCTTATAGTAGTAGCTAGTTGTTCTTGATATTTCAACAACCGAACTTATACCGCTTGTCTTAATTAGATAACTCCTAGACTCATCTACCTAGTTTTCATGCGCTCAGTTTTAAAAAAAAACAGTCGAATGCACATAAAGCTAGAACTAGTACGTGTAAAATTAATTTAAACGTCAAGATTTTCTAGTCCTTCTAATTAAGTAACCACCAAAATGTGACAATCCTGTAATAAAAAAAGTTTACAATAACATTTGTAGACACATTTTTAAATACGATGAAGCATGTTTATTTCTTAATAATACATATTCTACAGTTCGCATGCAATCTAGATATTAAAATAATTATTTAAGTAGTTTGAATAATATGTGTGCAGTAATTAAACATACATGATCATTACAAAAAAACCCAAGGCTAAAATGTAATAGTAAAAAAAAATCTGGATAAATAATAGCAAGTATGTTGAGTAAAATCCATTACCGTAATTTCGATAAGATAATTAAAACAAGCATTTAAGCCATTCCAGGCAAATGTAATCGAAAAATGGTGCATGCTTAGATTACATTTAAAAAATAAAATGAGGATTTGATTAAACTAACGCGAATGTGATAAACTTAACCCTAAACACCGGATGCGGAAATTATGGGATTTGAATAACGTTTTTAAGTATATCCTTGCGGATTAAGGGATTAAGTATTAACCTGGAAATTGTCTAATAAAATATATATGTAACTAAAGTATGATGGATATGTAAGAATGATAGATGAAATGTAATATTAATGACCCTGTGAAAAAAAAAGTAATTAATGTGAAGTATATATATATATATATATATATATATATATATATATATATATATATATATAATATATATATATATATATATACATTTAACAAGTATAAACAGAAGCTCAACATGAAACCCTAAAACTGGCTGATCTAGATACATTAAAATTATTTGAAGCATTGAGTTCTACTAATAATAATAAACTGGCGTATCTCTTATTATTTATAATGGATTTAGATATCTAGCTTAGTAGACCTAGCAATTACTATTTCCTAAACAGACGAGCATTGCCTGTGAAGGGTTGAGGTCAAGGTCACTTACCTTGGGGTCAAGGTGATGGGCGTCCTTGTAGCTGTACCACAGGCGGGTGTCGTTGCTGTATGCGATGCGGAACCGCTGGACCCAGTGTTTCCGGTCCGAGTCGCCCCGCCCCTTGGTGATGATGCCGGTGATGAGGGTGGGGGGCCCCACGTCAATCTGTAACCACTGGGTGTCTGGGTGGGAGAAAAAACAAGTGGACGTTGTAGCAGGGGTTTTACAGTATTGAACCTGTATATTCTTTACAAAATTGAAACTGCATATTCTTTACGGTATTGAACCTGTATATTTTTTACAGTATTGAACCTGTATATTCTTTACAGTATTGAACCTCTGTAATATTTACAGTATTTAACTCGTAATTCTTTACAGTATTTAACCTCTGTATTCTTTACAGTATTTAACCTCTGTATTCTTTACAGGATTGAACCATTATATTCTTTACGGTATTTAACCTGTGTATTCTTTACAGTATTTAACATCTGTAGTCTTAAAAGTAATAAAGCTCTGTTTTCAATTGGTAAAGTGGGTTTTGTTTATGTAAACAATCATTGGAGTCGTAATAATGGCCTGGCGGTAGAGACCTGGACTGCTAAACCTTAAGTCTAGAGTTCGAATCCGGGTTCAAGTCAGTAGACCGTCCCTGAGTCCACCCAACTCTGATGGGTACCTAATTCACATTAGGGAAAGTAATAGCGGCTGGGCATAGTGCTGACCACACTATCTCTTCATATGCCAAGGTCAGAGAAACAGGTGAACTCTACTTCACTTGCCCCATAGACTGTCAGTTTTGGAAGGGGAACTTTAATCAAAATACGCTGCACACAAAATTATATAATGACATGATGTGAACTAGGGATAAGAAAGAAGTGGGGGGGGGGGGGGGGGTGTAGAGTATTAATCAAAACATTTCGAGAATTTAGAGCAAGGTGTCCCAGTGTCCGTAGGAAATCCAACTATTCCTAGGACGTCCGGACGTCTTCAGACAAACAGTGTACGTAGGAAATCCAACTATTCCTAGGACGTCCGAACGTCTTCAGACAGTGTACGTAGGAAATCCAACTATTCCTAGGACGTCCGAACGTCTTCAGACAGTGTACGTAGGAAATCCAACTATTCCTAGGACGTCCGAACGTCTTCAGACAGTGTACGTAGGAAATCCAACTATTCCCTAGGACGTCCGAACGTCTTCAGACAGTGTACGTAGGAAATCCAACTATTCTTAGGACGTCCGAACGTCTTCAGACAGTGTACGTAGGAAATCCAACTATTCCTAGGACGTCCGAACGTCTTCAGACAAACAGTGTCCGTAGGAAATCCAACTATTCCTAGAACTTTTCATCGTTTTTAGACAGACAGTGTCCGAATTATGTCCAACTGTCCGTAGGACGTCTGACTATTCATAAGACGTCCTACTGCGCGTAAGACGTCCAGCTGTTTTTAACACGTCCAACTGTCCATTGGACGTGTCCGATTCACCGCAGTTTTGACAGGCACCTGCCGTCAGTGTGGCCGCTATTCCTACTGACCAAAACAAACGCTTCAAATGGCGAGGGGGTTAGAAAAACACGTCAACTCGGAATGTCTTTATAAACCGACACAAGGAAATACAATGGTTTTCAGTTAAAGAAATGTGTTAAAATTTATGGCCTTAGACTAACAATAACAAAATATGTTTTGATACATGTCAGTTTTAGGGTTAGGTTAGATTAAGTTTAGAGCGGCATAGAGCCCCCGTAATTTTGTATAGTTTGTTTCCTTGTTGATACTTGTCAGTTTTAGGGTGAGGTTACACATTTTTTTTAGAACCCCTGTGGTATTATATGCACGAGTTTGTTCCCTTGTTATGGTATTTATTGCCCTTAGTTAACTGTGGATAAATGAAAACGAATGTGGAAGAATTAATTTTAAAAAGTTCTTTGGATATTAGTTGATATCGCAGTGTAGCATTGTAGGTGTCGAAACTAACAAGTAAGCACACTGTAAGGAACAACAACATACGTGCAAATTATGTTGTCTTTTATGTCTTGTATACGTTTTTTTTTTTAAAAAATAGGATTTCTCTACATGTAAGTGTTGTGAATGGACCTAAGTGTATGGAATGAGTTTGAGAGTATGTGTGTAGTTGAATTGAGTTAATATAGTTATGGATGGTTTGAGAGTATGTGTGTAGTTGAATAGAGTTAATATAGTTGTGGATGGTTTGAGAGTATGTGTGTAGCGGTATTAAGAAAAGATTATGAATGCGTGAATAAATAAGGATGTGACGTAGGGGAGGATGTTTTCGTTGTTAGGAAGATAGTTGAGAGTCAGTCTTGGTCTTGTCGTCGTCTTGTGAAGATGTATAGAAGTCGTCGTCCCGTCTATCGTTGATGTAGCTGTTGATATTATATGTAATAAAAGATAGAAACATCGTAGCGTCATTCTGTGTTCTTCATTGGATCGTCGTCATCTATTGTTCGTAACGTTCAGCATCGACCCGTACCGAAACTCACTTCGCAACAGTAAGCAACTACGTAGCTTAGCTGTCACACAAATCGTTAACCTTGTCTTATTTTATTAGGGACATTGCTAACTTGGTCTAAGTTTACAGGGGCATTGCTAAACGGCTGTCCCACAATGTGTACAAATATTTTAAACTGCTGTCCCACAATGTGTACACATATTTTAAACTGCTGTCCCACCATGTGTACAAAAATTTTAAACTGCTACCCCACAATGTGTACACATATTTTAAACTGCTGTCCCACAATGTGTACAGACGACACATGTAGGTGTAAGGAATGGAGATCTATCTCAACAGAGCGTGACACAACATGGCGGCCAACATGAATACCTGGGGGTCGAATAACAAGGCGTGATGGATGACGTCGTATACAGCGGCGGCGCTGCTCGGCAGGGGCGGCGCCGTCGTATTGAAAGGTGGGGTTTTTGTTTTTTGTTTACATAACTGTTGTTGGGCATGAAGGCGGGTTCAGAGGTTATGATTGTTTAAAGTTCGAGTAAATCACGTGAGGTTCTATTTTTAGCTGCTAGATTACTTTTAATGTTATAGTTGAATAAGTAATATTTTTTACATGGTATTTTTTAAAATAATAATACTACGCCGAATTGAACTCTTAAACTGAGATTAACAAACTCCCCACCCAAACCCAAATCTAAACCTAATGAGAACTTTATATATAACACTGTTACGAGTTTAGGCCTAAGTTGTAAGCAACAGAAACTACCGTATGCACACGATAATAAATGGCAGAAATACATTTAGGTAAAAGATCGGGCTCTATATCACGTGAATAATAAGCCAAAAAGGCGTCTGTAGTGGGATAACTAGGGATATTTACACCCTAAATACACAAGAAAATAAGTGAAGACTGAGCCAAAAGGACGTCTCTAGGGGGATAACTGGGAATATTTACACCCCAAATCATTATTTATAAAATTCACAATAAATACTAATAAAACCATCTAAGAAAAGAAAACAATTTTCTACAACAAAAAGGTCACATATATTTGAAATAATATATGTAATTTTTAGTGTGACTAAAAGTTATGATCTGGGTTAAATTGAAGGCTAATTATTATCAAATTAGATCAGATTTTATATTTAAAACGCTAAATATCCACCCTCTCCTATTTAAAGCGTTAATCTCAAGCACACGACCTCCCCCCCTCCCCCACCAACCACTTTACGTGTTATGAAAGTTACATCGCCACTGCTTCACAATGTAAGTCCCTTTGTCCCATCCAGGGACATAAACCAATGGTCACAGAAACAGTTCTCTACCGACAGTATCATTTACATAAGGAGAAACTAGACGTCTAGTTCCATCTCCCAATCAAAGGACACCAAGCGACTAAGTCATGGGACTTGGGCACGTGATGACAATTATAAAACCTATCTTAATCCTATTCCTATCCGTTTTACTTTTAACTAAATTTCACACCTGCAATAAATTCTTAAACTAAATGTCGTAGCGAAATGACTGTTACAGTTGCAGATTAAAGCTTAATAAAAACCAGGTGAAATGAAAATATAATCATCAATATTTATTTTGTAAATGTGGTCAAAATAATGATATTCTAAATTTGGATAATTTTTCGCAAAATAATTTTAATTATGAATAGATAATTATTTTTATTTTTTTTTGAAAATAAAAATGAATCAAACGTTAAAATTCAGATGAACTTTTGGTTTTTACCCTTGAAATAACCAAAATAATACCCCACGACCCGTAACTCTAGCAAAATAAAAAAAAAAACCACACGTTTGATGTCTTTTGGGTGGAGCAGCAAAACGCTGACAGTTACAGCCCCTTGCGACAGGCCGAGATTTATCTTCCCCTGTTCTACAATGGGTTCCCCAACACATTTGTCCCAGTCCTGTTGAGGCCGGCTCTACAGCGAGTCTCATTTACAAGCTGGGGGTAATTTATATATCAGGACCTGTTCATTTTTCTTACGTGTAAACTTTAGTGCGTAAATATGTCATGTTTTCAGTTTCATGTTCATGGGCATTTCATTCATTCATAAATGCCATGCTGTTTCTGAGTTAACCCTTTAACTCCTAATATTCCCTAGTAATTCTCAATTAACCCTTCAATTCCCAATATTTCCTACTATTTCAGATTTAACCCATTAATTCCCAATTTTATCTATAAATTCTGAGCTAACACTTCAATTCCCAATTTTCGCTATAAATTATGAGCTAACGCTTTAATTCCCAAAATTCCCTACTGATTCCGTATTAACCCTTCCATTCCCAATATTCCCTGGTAAATCGACGCTAACCATTCAGTTCTCAATATTCTTGATTAACTCTGAGTTAACCCTTGAATTCCCAATATGTTCCTGCTTATTCTATGTCGACCCTCCAATCTATAGCGACTCCTACTGAATCAGTCTCCAACTACAAGCGCCATACAACAATACCTGCTGTAAGTTGTAAAAAAAAAATATCCGTGAATATGTAAAGAAACTATAGCCATCGTCCTTCACCTTTATCTCCTCATACCAACACCCCCCCCCCTCTTCATATGATACCCGTGCATGTCTGCATGTTTAACAAGAGTGAGTACTAAATGTTCTCACGTTTGAAGCTTTGTAAGACCTTTTCGGATTGTAAGCGGTTTAGATTTTTCAACACGTACACATGGGCATTAGCTTCACGGCGAACTGAAATTTCGTTTTACAAAAGCGAACTAATGCTCCTCTTTCAGACCTAACGATCCATAGGACACATGAAGTATAATTCATATGTATATTGATCTCCGCATATGAAGCGATTGTGTGGTCAGAACCAGTGTCCCTCTAAGCTGCGCGGTTGCGCGGCCGCGCAGTAGTTCCGAACCTGCCGCGCAGTCCTTTTGTAAAAAAAACATATTTCTTGTATAAGACTTTTAGAACACCACGCACACAAAATACACTTTGCACACTAGCCTTCTCCCCTTAGAGGGAATTGGTCAGAACTATACCCAGCCGAATTTACTTTAACCTAACATGAGTAAGGGGCTTATCAGAGCTAGGTGGACATCCTGCAGTCTGAGTCCGAACCGAGATCCGAACTTGTGACCTTCGGGTTAGCAGCCGAACGCTCTACCTTTCGACCCAGCTGTTCCATTTGTTTTACTAATCGAGGTACCAAATAATTACCCTACATTCGTATCCCATAAGCCTGAGTGTGACACTGAGGAATAGTGATTAAAGTTTTATAATCCTTTTCTCTATGTAGTAGGAGGGATGTGCTAACGTGTAGTTTATGGTTAAAATGTCGTTAATAATAAAATGTAACAGTAATCAGTATTAATTAGATAAGAATAATTCTATTATCGAAAAGTTTAGGATGAAAAGTCTCGGGGCCAAAATATGAACCTAGCTTCTTCTTCTTCTTCGTTCTTAATTTTTAGTGTTGGGAGGGATCGAGCCTTATCTGCCAGAGGGTTTAAACTCGAAACTTTTTTCGAATTTATCAACCATGAGCTTTGCCGACTCGCCCACGCCTCCATCACAATTAAGGATTATGTGTCAACTGATTTTGCGCCATTGAGGCCATTGACTCCGATTTCAGCCTGCTTTTCTTTTCGGATTTGCTTCCATAGCCTTTGTCCAACCAAGAACAAACTACAAGCCAGCAGTTGTTTGATTTTGGAGTTGTCTCTCCTAGAAGAGTGGCTGTCCCTAGCTAACGAGCCTCATCTGCCCGAGGGTTCGAACTCGAAACTTTTGGGTTTAGCAACAATGAGCATTACCGGCTCGACCACGCCGACCCCTATGAAGCTAGCGTTACTTGTATTCGAACCAGGAAGCTTTGAGTCTGCGTCTAGGCTCCTTAAAGATACCAACGCCCTTCACGATTAAGGTTGTCCAGATTTTATGGGAGTTTAAAAAGACATTGATTCACGATGTTGCTGTCAGTTTCCGCGTTCCGGATATTTTATGCGAGGTATGAATCTCCGAAAATTTACATTCAATGAAATTTAAAATTAGAAACTATAGAGGTTAGAGGCTATCTGAAGATGTTCGGATAATTGAGATAATGAAATAAAAAGTATGACCTTAAAAAGGTTGGAGGCTATCTAAGGGCGTTCGGATAATAGGGCTGGTAAGTAGGTCACCAACCAGTTCTATGGCTCATGCAGGTTTTGTTGAGCCGTAGAACTGGTTGGTGACCTACTTACCAGACCTATTGAGACGATGATAAACGAAGTATGGAATTGTCTTAAAGAGGTTGTTGAGTATCTGAACAGTAACGGATCATAGGTGAGCATTATGTATTTACTTAGCGTATGGGGTATTAATATCGTAAATAAGAAAGGCTTCATATCGTGGAATGTTAAACATACGCGGTTCTCTTTATTTCTTTCTTAGGAGTAAAAAATAACTCATCATTAACAAATCGTCATTGTTTTAATAAATAATTGCATGATTAGCCTCAGTATTTCTTTTAGAAGTTTTTCTCTGGGTGGTATTTGAAACTTTGAAGGGGGGGAGGGGGCAGACACGGGTAAAAGTCTACATTTGCCATTGCTAAATAAATCCTATTTCGTTCGGGGGTGGGGGTGGGGCCAGGTGGGGGAAGTAGGGTGAAAAGGGGGCGGTAGACGTGCTTTGGTTGGATGGGTGTCCCCCGCCCCTCCGAAAATGCCTGAAAGAAACACTGTTTAGCCTTAAGAAAAAATGCCGAGCAAAGCCAAACTTTTTTTTTTACTCAAGTTTAGGTCTAAACAACTGCACCCATACTTAGCTATTTGAAAAGTAATTGCATGCTTAGTCTTTAGGCAAACACCAAGAACACAGCCGTATAGTTTATTAAAATTAATTAGCGGAAGAAAGTTACAGTTGCGTTGAAATACACGTGTATAACTAATCTTGATATTTGAGTTTTCGGATAACTGGGAAAACAAGAAGAACAAATTTGCGAGCTGAGCTGCTGGGGGGGGGGGGGGGAGAATGTTAAAGGGGGCTGTGATCAAAGGCTGACAAGTTGTTCTGATGGTACTTGGCGAAATGCAAATCTCGTTTTGACAAGGCACGCCACGGTGGAGGGTTGGAACAGGTGACTGGTGTGGGGGTGTGGGTGGGCTACACTTGTGTGTGGGGGTGTGGGTGGGCTACACTTGTGTGTGGGGGTGTGTGGGAATTTGATAGGGGTGGTGAATGGTGTTTGAAAATGTGGGGGTGTTGGTGGGCTACACTTGTGTTGGGGTGTGGGTGGGCTACATTTGTGGGTGTGGGTGGGCTACATTTGTGTGTGTGGGTGGGCTACATTTGTGTGTGGGGATAGAGCTTAGATAAAATGGCTTTATTGAGCTTAGCTAAAGACGCCTCATGGAGCTTACATCAGGTCTGAAATGTGTGGAGCTTGGATTTGACTTTCACAGTATACGTTTAGATTAAAAATAAAGCCTTCCAGCCACTATATAAAAATGAAATAAAAATTAACCCTGCTTAAATATTCTAAACCGGTACCTGTTAAACAATCTATAGATGTAGTTTTACAGTAATTTAACCCCACTAGTAATTTCATTGCGTAAATAGCGATACCGATTTAACTCACTTAACCGTACACCCAGCCCATTCAATGTTCCTCAAACTATCACTAGCCATTAGCAATAACCATAGACATAAGCGTTAAACTCATTGTTATCTGTTTTACAAATACATATGAAAGATTGCTGGATAAAAGATTTAAAAAAAAACCAAGAATCACAACAAGAAACAATACAATAAAATATTGATAATAAGTACATAACGATTGCAAAAATTAGTTTTAAATCAGAATTCATTTACATAAAGAAGTAGACATTGACATGGGCGTTACCACGGCAACCTGACGTCAGTTCCCCGCTTTGATCAACCACGTAAAAGAGTGGCTTGTGATGAAGAGAGGGGGATGACGCGGGGTGATCCTGGTGCCCTAATAAACAGACATTAACGTATAGAGTGCTGTCATGACCTAATCCTTGAGTGCCAGATTTAGGTCATGGGATTTGACATACGCACCCCCCCCCCCTCTTAATTCTCCATCCGCCCTCGTTAAGTAACGTATTCACGAGATTCTAATTTTAAAAATGTAAATTTTCAACATGAAATCTTTTTTGGTAACCGAACTTTTTTGGAGCTATGTGTGTTTGTGTTGTTGTATGTGTGTATTATTGTATGTGTGGTTGTTAATGTGGTTGTATGGGTGTTGTTGTATGTACCCCATAATCAGACACCATACATTGGGTCGGCGTGGTCGGGTCGGTAAAGCTCATGGTCGCTAATTCAAAAAGTACCGAGTTCAGACCCTCGGACAGATGAGGCTCGTTAGCTTGGGACAGCCACTCATCTAGGAGAGACAACTCCAAAATCAAACAACTGCTGCCTTTATGTTTTTTGTGGTTGGACAAAGGCTTTGGTAGCAAATCCAAAAAAAAAGCAGGCTGAAATCGGAGTCAATGGCTTTAATGGCGCATAACAGGTTGACATGTAATTTCTAACTGGTGTGGGGGGAAATAAATCACGTCCAACATTACAATTAAGAATGAAGATGAAGAAGAAGGCACCAAACAGAAATATGACCACAAGTTGTGATCTGATATCTACTAACAAATAAAACTCTCCCTAAATGTAACTTTTTTACCTTTTTTACAAACAGAAATCTGCGCAAAAAGATTTATGACAAAAAACAGAAATCAGCCCACATGTATTTTCTGCATTAAATAAATTTGCCCAAATAAAAAATTAGACCCAACAATAAATCTGCCCCAAACATAAATCTGCCCCAAACTAAAATCTGCACAAAGCATAAATCTGCCCCAAACATAAATCTGTCTCAAACATGAATCTACCCAAACTAAAATCTGCCCCAAGCATAAATCTGTCCCAAACATGAATCTACCCAAACAAAAATCTGCCCCCCAAACAAAAATCTGCCCCAAGCATAAATCTGCCCCAAACATGAATCTACCCAAACAAAAATCTGCCGCAAGCATAAATCTGCCCCAAACATAAATCTGCACCAAACATACATCTGCCCCAAACATGAATCTGCCCCAAACATGAATCTACCCAAAACAAAAATCTGTCCCCAATCTGCCCAGTGTTTTCTTACCGTTCTGTTTCTTGGAGCACCAGGCCTTGCTACTCAGCACGTGACCATCCTCCGGCTGACATGAGCTTCCCTTCTGGAACTTTCTAGACGTGGAGGCGGTAATCTTGCCGTAGGGCGGGAGACCCAGGGGTTCTTTGCACACTGGGGGAGAAAATCACACGGTCAATAAACAATAAATCGATCAGATTATAAGGGAATAGTCAGATTATAAGGAAATAGTCAGATTGTAAGGAAATAGATTATAAGGAAACAAATTATAATGAAATAGTCAGATAATAAGGAAATAGTCAGATTATAAGGAAATAGTCAGATTATAAGGAAAGTCAGATTATAAGGAAATAGATTATGAGGAAATAGTCAGATCATAAGGAAATAGTCAGATTATAAGGAAATAGTCAGATTGTAAGGAAATAGTCAGATTGCAAGGAAATAGTAAGATTATAAGGAAATAGTCAGATTATAAGGAAATAGTCAGATTATAAGGAAATAGTCAGATTATAAGGAAATAGTCTGATTATAAAGAAATAGTCAGATTATAAGGAAATAGATTATAAGGAAATAGTCAGATTATAAGGAAATAGTCAGATTATAAGGAAATAGATTATAGGAAATAGTCAGATTATAAGGAAATAGTCAGATTGTAAGGAAATAGTCAGATTATAAGGAAATAGTTAGGTTATAAGGAAATAGTCAGATTATAAGGAAATAAGATTATAAGGAAAGTCAGATTATAAGGAAAGTCAGATTATAAGGAAAGTCAGATTGTAAGGAAAGTCAGATTATAAGGAAATAGATTATAAGGCAATAACGCGAAACTAAATAGAGAGTATCACGTCATTTTTGTTGTAGAAGCGTGATGCAATATAGTCTACAGGCTAGCTAGTGACCAAGGCTTATATTTAAAAAGGTACTTAATTTACTGTTGGTTTGATGTTGATATGTAAATTTATATGTACGTTTCTCTATGTAGATTTATATACATCTTTCGGTTTCTATGTAGATTTTAATGTATGCTGCACTGTAGATTTACATATAGGTTTATTTAAATGTTTATATTTAGGTTCTATATTTAGTTTTATATGTGGGTCTATATATAGGTTTTTTATGAACCTTTATACGTACGTTTCGTAGGTTCATATGTAAGTATTTATGTAGGTATATGTGGAGCCTACTAATCAGGAAGTTTGTATTTGTAGATGTTTGAGTAAACTTAAAAGGGACGTGTTTGCCAGATGGTACAATTTTTTTTATAAAAAACAAAAATTCATTATAGCAGAGGTCAAGGTCATTTCTTGAACAAAGACCAAAGGTAAACACGAAGGGCGTATTTTAGCCAAGACACGGAAGTCTGCATTTTTTTTTTTTTTTTGGTGCGAGGTTTAAACTTTTTGAATTTAAAAAAAAGAAAAAAAAAGTTTTAATATAAATGTACATAAACGTGACGTTTTGAAGTTTTCATTACGGCGAGGAGAGCGGACACAAAGGATAACGAGGGAGACGTTGATATTCATCTCGCCCCTCCCCTCCCCCCCCCCCCCCCCCCCCCTCTAGCGATCCTTCTTCAACTTGGTAGACTAGACGTCTCTTTCTATTAGAATTTACACTTTTATAAGGGGAGATAACACAAAATCTAATTATTCAAACGTGTTGTGTTTATATATAAAATAAATATGTATATATATATATATATACATATATATATATATATATATATATATATATATATATATATATATATATATATATATATATATCACGCTTATAAATAAAAATGTCCATGTTTTTGTTACAATTAGATATAACGGCCTGATGCATCTTACTGTTGTGAAACGGACAAAAAAACAACAACAATTATCGTCGATGTGATATAGGCTGGTCGGCGTCTATTTAGCTTTAACCTGCCGCCCCTTATACATTTAACTTCATCTCCCCTCTCCCCCCCCCACTTTCTGTAGCGATCCTTCTTCCACCTCCTTATACATCTACTTCATCTTTAATAACATAATCACAACTTAAAACAGGATGATATTTTAAAATTTAAGAATGTTAATTTAAACATAGTTTTGTTAAAATAAAATAATGTTACAGTAATCTCCATTCATCTAAAGTGCCAGCATACATCTTTCAGACCTGAAGCTTACGGTAAAACCCCTTTTTCCTTCAGACACAATAAATGTAACTATTACAAAATTGAAATTAACTAACTATAATAGCAGTAATAATTTTTAAATTATTTTTCTTGTTTTATATCTAGAGAGAAGAATTAAAACTAAGAGCTATTAACTTTTGAAAGTGGGAGTGATTATTTAATTAAATTTATTGTTTAATTAAAGTAGGAAGAGGGTTGGAATTGGCCCATGCCGAGGGGAATTTATGAAGGTAGAAATTGCTTGTGACAATAGCAGATGTTGGTGATGCTGCAAGTCACATACCTAAGTGGTGGAGGATTGGGGGGGGGGGTAGGGAAGAGAGTTGGAGGAGAAAGGGAGGATGGGTGGGAATGGGAGGAGTATGGGATAAGGATGGGAGGAGTATGGGATAAGGATGGGAGGAGTATGGGATAAGGATGGGAGGAGTATGGGATAAGGATGGGAGGAGTATGGGATAAGGATGGGAGGAGTATGAGATAAGGATGGGCGGAGGATGGGATGAGAATGGGGGAATGGGATGAGGATGGGATGAGGATGGGGGGAATTGGAGAAGGATGGGATGAGAGTAGGAAGGCAGGTAATAAAGGTCGGGGAGAAGGTTTTGATGTTTGAAATATTTTTGTTTAAAATATACTTAGATTATTCAAATTTGAATGTAGAAATTTATACTCGTTTTTTATCAAAGCTCTTCCGTTCTTTATTGTTATGTATACACTCTCCGTTGTTAGTTCGGATAATTTTACTGTCATTTTAATCCTCACACTAATCCTGTATCTAACACTAATCCACACAATAACGTCAATCACAAAAATTTGAAAAAAAATGGAGTTCACCTAAACTTAGAGTTTTCTTACAAGAAAATTTTCAAAACGGATTTGATGATTGGTCAATAAATTTATTTTCAAAGCGGATTTGATGATTGGTCAATAAATTTGAGTTCAACTAGCAATTAACACAACACATTAACAAGCTAATTAATCAACAGATAAGTCAATCGTGCCTTAAAGAATTTAGTGCATTCAATACGCCCTGAAGATCAAGGGCAATAAGTCCTGATGTAAAACGCGAGTGTGGGACTATAAAAGTGACGGCGAATAATAGGACAGTCGGGCTCATTATGGGACAGTTCCCCACACAAACACGTAGAGAAATAAACTCGTTACATCCTTGAAGGTGTTGGTACAGAAGTCATAACAGACAGCACCATCTGTCATGGTCATCTGTCAAAGGGCGGAGTATAATCCTTAATCTTTCAGCTGAGATGACCTAGATACGAGCGCGAAAAAATGCCATCTGGCCACCAGGCCCGTATATAACCACGGGGCAAAAAGAACTAGTACTTGTAATTCGAGTTAATACGTGTGCAGAGTATTAAGCTGAGTTCATTAAGTACACGTCATTATTTTTACTAATTAAGATTTATGGGAATGTTTAATTTTCAGATGTCCTTCTATTCGGAGTTAAGGCAAGGGGAAGTAGAGTTAGCGTGTTAAATATATTTACAAAGTCGAGACCTTAGAACTTCTATATCTACAATAGACTCATTTAAATGTAGAACTCGCACCCTAGTAATTTTAAAGGCTTTGACAAGTCAAAAATGGATATTAAAGGAGATGCGTTCAGACTTTAAATACAGTAGGCCTACATGGATTTTTACCTAAACACAAACATCAGTATTTAAAAGACGCGTTTACTAGATAATAATGAGTACGTTATTTGCTTAGGTGAAGTCTGTAATGAAATAATATCAGGATTATCTAGATTAATATGGAATGTACCATTTTAACAAATTGACTTTTTAGTAGTGGGGTGAGGCGGTGGGTTGAGGCTGTGCGTGTTTGTGTGTGTGTGTGGGAAGGGGGAGGTGAGTCGGTTACTGTAGTTCAAATGAGATATTCTATCGCTATTTTACCCTTTGAATAAAAACCATTAAATTCAACTGGGCTACATCCATTATATATATATATATATATATATATATATATATATATATATATATATATATATATATATATATATATATATATATTTCTCGTCAACATTCTAACCCACATGACGTTTGGTGTCACCATTTACCCCATAAAACTTAGATGGTCACCATTCTACCCAACAAGACATTCGGTATCACCACTCTACCCCACACAACTTTGGTGTCACCAATTGACACCACACGATTTTTATGTCACCATCCAATCCCACATGACTTTTGTATCACCATTTATAATCCACACACCTTTTGAAGCCACCATTGACTTTATGGTCACCATTTTTACCCCACACGAATATCACCAGCCTATCCCACATAACAATTAGTGTCACTATTCCGCCCCACACAATACTGATTTTACCCACTCCCTCCATTAAAAAAACAAACAAAAAAAAAAAAAAAAAAAAAAAAAATCTCCACACAACCACAATCCAAACCAATAAATCAAATAAAAATAAATCCACTGATTACTCACATTGACATCCCATAATTTCGACACGCATGCTTGGATGCCTGTTCCATTGAACGGTGTGAAATTTGATGTAGCGAGCTATGATGGGCTGGTCCAGGTAGTTGTGTTTTACAGAGAAGGAGTCGATGTTACCTTCAAATAGCTGAGGGAAAAAAGGTAATGTCAGGTGAGAATGGGAGTCATAAGGCTTGAGTCATGGGAGTCAAATATAGGTTGAGTCATGGGAGTCACATTACGTGAATATGGGAGTCAAATTACGTTTGTCTTTGGGATCACATAACTTGAGTCATGGGAGTCACATAGCTTGCGTCCTGAGAGATATGGCTTGAGTCATGGGAGTCATATAACGTGAGTCATGGGAGTCACATTAGGTAAATATGAGAGTCATGGAATATGAGTTACGGGAGTCAAATAACGTGAGTCATGGGAGTCACATAAGGTGGGACATGGGGATCATATTACGTGAATATGGGAGTAACGATTATAATTCCAGCATAGGAGTTTAGTTAATATTGGGAGTCATGGTAGTCAATGTTATAATGGTTGTAATAGGAGTCAGGGTTATAATGCAAATCAGGGTTATAAAGGGAGTCGTGGGCGTCAGTGTTGTAATGAGAGTCAATGGAGTCAGTGTTGTATATGTGGAGTCAGTACTGTTATGAGAGTCGAGGGAGTCAGTGTTGTAATGATAGTCGAGGAGTCAGTGTTGTAATGATAGTCGAGGGAGTCAGTACTGTAATAAGAGTCGAGGGAGTCAGTGTTCTACATTTGGAGTCAGGATGTACTCACCCACTGGTTGCCGTAGTTGTCTGTGACGTAGTTCCAGTGGTAGGCGTCCATGCTGTAAGACACGTGGAAACGTGTGACCCACTCGGACCCGTCCCCGCGACCCTGGGTCATGACCCCAGTCACCTGCACACGTCGGAAATTAATTAAGATAAATAAATAAAAATTGATAATTTGATTATATAATGTTATATAAACAAATTGAAAAAAAATACTTTCATTTCTTTATTACATAAAAACATTATATATATATATATATATATATATATATATATATATATATATATATATATATATATATATATATATATATATATATATCTACAAATAGCCTGTGTTGCACACACACACACACACATATATATATATATATATATATATATATATATATATATATATATATATATATATATATATATATATATCGTCTATATAAATATGAATAAAGGCGGCGCTGCGGTATTTAAATAGACTGTTGTATGCGTTTTTTTAAATGTGTTTATTTTGGTTTTTCATCGAAAATAAAGGATTCTAGTTTTGTGTTGTTTTGCTTGTCTATGTATTTCAATATATTCATGTTGACTTAACATTGTAATCGGTTGCGAAAAAATAAACATAAAGACATTTACACAGAAAATTGCGTTTCGACCTTAGGTCTTCGTCTAACTATCACGTCTTTATTCGCAAACCCATAACTAGTTCTACTATGTAGACCAGGGGTATCGAAACTTTTCAGTCCGAGGGCCGCATTAACTATCAAATTTCAGTTCGGGGGCCAGTTTCTTCCAGGCATGTCTTTGATTTATCTGAGCAAAGTTCCTCAGCCATCACCAACAAACGTTTTCTTCCGTGGACAAAAAGATCTCCGCGGGCCGGATGAGAGGACCTCGCGGGCCGCATTCGGCCCGCGGGCCGTAGTTTGGAGACCCCTGATGTAGACAATTGAAGACGAAAAAAACGATTAATAAAAATCTCCCGCTTTAAGCTGTTTGCTCAACTGGGGAATCTTCTCTCTGATATACAAACAGTCTTTTCTACTTCCGATATCAGATAGACAAATATTTCAACAGAATAATGGATTAAACCATAGACAAGTTCAAGAAACTTGAGTTAAAGGGAAACAAATAGAATAGAATTTTCTTAGAGTCATTCCCCTTGTTTCTTAAACACTGCGACTTTTTTTTTCTATTTACATAAATAAACGTTCATGCCAGAAAGTGGGGGGTGGTAGGTTCTGAGAAGACAGGGTAGATATAAGTGACTACCTCCCATCAAGTAACCTGACACCCCTGCTTGAGAAAAAAAATGAGATCTCCAGACTTTTCAAGGGTGAGTATCTGGTTTCATAGGGGGAATTCCATTCACAGAGACACGGGGGTGTTATTTGCATGAGAGAGGCCAAGTCGAGTGGGAGACAGTAGGGAGGGCTGAATTAAATATTAGTTTTCACAATGCGTATTTAAAAAAAAAAAAAAACCCGTTATTTAATAGTTTTGTGAATTTAAAATAGCCGAATTAAGTATGTTGCGTTTAAAAAAAACATTGTATGAAATTGATTTTAATTCGGTTTTTTTAAATTTATTTACATAACAATAAAAATGTTAAAAATTACAAAATGAAATATTAGTTTCAACAATTCATTTTTAATCACGAGTATTAAAAAGGTTTTTCTTGAAAACGCTTGTGCGGAAAATAAAATTTAATATAATTTATTGAAGGGATTATAAACATGTACATTTATTTAGACACAGCTTTACATGAATAGTTATTGTAAACTCATACATTATTCTGACGATACTTTGAGGTCGAAATATCATTGGCTGTTGTTAAAATCGTGTTTGAGTTTTTTGCAAGTGTTTGATGATTCATTTAAAATGTATCGTATTAATGTGCTAATGTACAATTACATTTTCTGAGCGTTGGTTGGGGCAGACTTTTTATTTGATTTTTTAAAGTAGCATGTACATGTCTTAAAATAGCAGCCGGTAACATTTTTTAGAAGACATCTATTATGTCTAGTGATCTGTTTAAAATGGTGAGCACTTATCTTGTCTACGTTAGTTTTTATATTCACTTTCTATAATTTTTTTATCATCTCATAATTTGTTATCTATATCCTCTTATTTATCCTCTATTTTTTTTTTCGTCCTTTTTAAAAAATAAAACGAAATACAACACTCTTATACATATCCTGTAATAACCACTTGCCTACGCCAAGGAATGCATATTTATTTTAGGAATTCGTCTCAACGTGTCTTGCAATCGAATATCTTTAAAAATATTTTTCATAATACCCCACGCCTCATAAATATTAATGCATGTATTAATCCGATACATTGATCCGTTGATTATTTTTAGAAAATGAAATAAAAAAAAAGACAATGGGCCTTTTAGCAGTTGCCTACGCGACCTATTCCTGAAGTCGGCACCGTGCGTCACGGTTCCTATAAACTTAACCGTTGATAAGCCCACAGACAGATCTTCAAGCACAGCATGGCCGATTGAAATAACGACGTCAACCCGCGCCCTAGGGGGTGACTGCCGGGGTTGTATGCAATCAGAAGAAGGGGGGGGGGGGTGCTCTCTACCCATGCGGTGCACTCAATCGCCGCCCCCCTTTTAAAAGGACTTAGCGTTTCGCGCCCAAATATTTAAATAACACTTTTCAGCGTTTCTTCTTACCGCGGTTAGGATTAAATTTAAGGACCTGTCGAGTGGTAGCTGTTTAGTTCTGGAGGGGGTGCTGAAAGTAATCCATATCAATCCACCAAGCGGTGGCAGGGACCTCCACCCGATCCACTGGTACAGACACTCGACTATTTCACGTTATATCGTCAACAATTTCAACCCCCGTTTTGTCTGTCTTATATTCTTGAAGTGTGAAGTATTTCTTGAACTGTTGTTGATGGGAGCCGTATTAAATAAAATAGACCTTATTGTCACTGATGACAAGAGGTCGTTATCCTGGAGGAGGTCCCGACAATTAGGTCCCGACATTTCTTGAGGGGATGGGGGTGGTAAGAATGTTAAGAGGAGTTAAAGAGGAAGGGAGATAATCAAAATAATTGTTACCAGGCGGGATAACCCCAACCTGTATTCTATATCAATAACGATATTCTATTCTATATTCTATTTTATATTCTATTCTATATCAATAATGATATTCTATTCTATATTCTATTTTATATTCTATTCTATATCAATAACGATATTCTATTCTATATTCTATTTTATATTCTATTCTATATCAATAACGATATTCTATTCTATATTCTATTTTATATTCTATTCTATATCAATAACGATATTCTATTCTATATTCTATTCTATATCAATAACGATGATACCTAGGGGGAGGTGGGGGGGGGGGGGGGGGGGGCTTGGAGTTTCAATGACAAAAAACGCGACATCAAGATAATCGTTATATAAGCACAGGGTAGGCAACAGAGGGGATACTCAAAATGTTAAGGAGTCGATGTGGGAGAAAGGGGAGGGGGGTTGAGGTTAAGAGAAGTCTGCACGTGATTTTCACACTTGTTAAGCTAACGATCATAAGTAAAGTTCCCCTTTCCAACCTGACGGGCAAGTGAAAAGGAGTTCAGTTGTTTCTGTGACCTCGGATTGTGAAGGGATAGTGTGGTCAGTATTATGTCCAGCCGTCTTTACTTTCCCTAGCGTGAATTAGGTACCCATTAGAGCTAGGTAGACACAATGACATTGTACGTACGTGAGCCAAGATTCGAACTCGCGAGTTTCGGGTTTGAATCATTAGACTACTTGGTCCCTATCATTGATCAATTGTTATTTCTTAGATTCAGAATCTTACTGACTTTTAATTTAATCTATGCCGACATGCACATAAACACTTAAAAGTAATTCTATTGATACTACGGCCACCCTGTGCTAATGATACTTCAGTCAACCTGTGCTAATGATACTACAGCCATACTGTGCTAATGATACTACAGCCATACTGTGCTAATGATACTACAGCCATACTGTGCTAATGATACTACAGCCATACTGTGCTAATGATACTACAGCCATACTGTGCTAATGATACTAAGGCCACCCTGTATTAATGCTACTACGGCCACCCTGTGCTAATGATACTAAGGCCACCTTATACAGATCGTGTTACGGTAGGAAGTAAGCTCAAGTAACCAATGTACAGGATGTTATTCAGATAAACTAGGCCAAGAATGTGTACAGCGAGAGCTTACTGTACTTGGTGAACGGGACAAACCCTTGCATACACACTTCATATGGTGTTTGACATTGTTAGCTATATATATATATATATATATATATATATATATATATATATATATATATATATATATATATATATATATATATATGTATAAACAAGCACTGCTTTCTGTTCTTTTAAACATAGGTAGGCCATTTGGAAGGATAACTGCTAATGCGATTGTATTTTCAAAGTGATGTCCCCCTGGTACAACAGATAAAATTATTCAGGCTTGCACTATAAGATGTAGGTTGCATTCCTGTTTGGGTTTTTATAAACAGAAGCCTAGCACAGCTGAGTTCATTACTTGCACGGAAAATAAGATTAAAAAAAAAATAATTCGTTTGAATTAAAAATTCTTTCAAGTAAGCAGTCTAAAGGTAGCATTACTGGTTTCAGATCTGCTCATCTGTATGAGAAATTTTGTGTAGGGTTTCTTTCAGGCATTTCTCCATCGGGACATCATTTCTCTCCCCCAGGCAAAATGGAATAAAACCATAGTTTTGTAAGAAATAATATATACTTTAACCAGTGTCGAACTCATGGGTACTTTCAAGTACCACCCCAAAAGTTACCCCATTCCCTTATCTGCGTTAAAATATATGAAAAAGTAGAGATTTTTAATATAAAATACCAGTAAGGTTAAACACAATTTTTTTTAGATATAAAGATAAAGAAAGCAATTTTTCGATCGTTAGAAAAACCTCTGATTTTTACGTAGATTTTCTTAGAATCCAATCCACGTTTTATAAACTATACTAAGTATATAAATTAGTAAAACATAAGTCATCTTTTTAAATCGTAAGAACTCTATTTTAATTAGCCATATTTTTTTTTTATAAATAAACTATTCAAGCACATGTTTATAAATGTAGACCAATTATCCAATCAATCCACAACCACACAGACTCACCAATTTAAAGAATGTGTAAGCATGCATGTAAGTTAATTAAAAGTTGCTTTTTTAAAATTCGTTACAGATAAACCAGCCATTCTTGCAGTTAGCTTCTTAGACTTAACCCTATCCTTAAATAATTCCCCCTCAATAGCGAGATTTAGAGTTAATTTACTGTAGTACCAATTATCCAGATATCTTTGTATTTTTGTATCAAGGGACCTAACTCTAAAACTGTATCAGCATTGTCGCGCAGCCCGTATAGCTATAATTATAACATTCGCGCAGGAATGTCGTCCGGTTGACAGTTCGCGCATGCGCAGGCCCCCGAGTGTTTGGGAAGACTTCAAGCGTAGTCTCGTCCTTTACAAACCCTTGCGTCTATGACGGTCGCGGTTGAGCGGGCGCGGGGAGGCGCTGGGGAGACACCCGTTCGCCACGCATGGCTGGTTTTTATTATGGCGACGCGGGGATGGTATGCCAGGAATATTCGGGAGGGCTTTTGTCACCGGGGCTTTTGTCGTGGGGGCCAACGTCGGTGCTGTTTAGTCGTTTTTAATATCGAAATATTTCAGTTACGTAAGTTCGGTCTAACACATGGGTTTTTTTTGCGTCAGGAATTTGGGTCACGTATGCATATTTTAATAAGTGAAGAAAATTACATTTTCAGTTCTGATGCATACGAACACACACATATAAACACACACACACATATATATATATATATATATATATATATATATATATATATATATATATATATATATATATATATATTTGATGATGGCCCAACTCTGTTCACATTACGAAACAATTACCGTAAACATGAAACCATTTAACCACCAAAATGTAAACAGCTGTAGACCATTTATCTCCTGGTAAAGAAACTAGCACATGTTTTCAATTCATACATCAATTAAAGGGAGATAACGAATGTAAAGTAGGCTGGGTAAAGAAAAAGGAACAAAAAAAATTGTCATTATCAATAAAGTCGATTTACTGAGATAAATAAATTATTTTTATTTTCTGCATAGGTATGCTATGGAAGTTATGGGGTTAGTATAAGTATGTTAGTAACATTAGAATAAAACTTCTCCTAATTGCATGGTTATCTACACCAAATGTTTTGTAAGGCTGACTATATTACATAGTACGCACACCTCTCATCTCAATGATGCAATAAGTTTTTCAATCGTACGATAAAGATTTGAATTCGGGAAAAAAAAAGTCGGAAAAAGCGAAATTGGAATAATAATTAAAAAAAAAACAACAACAGCCCCCCCCCCCTTGCAGTAAATTTATTTTAGGCATATTTTCCAGGGGACTGTGGGTTGGGCAATTGGGTGCGGGGTGGGGGGAGCACTCCCTAAGTAAGTCCTAAGAAAGTCTACAGATTCCCGCCCCCACCCTGAACGAAATAGAATGTGTATAAAAAATATATACTATTACCAGTGTCCCCCCCCCCTCCACGGGAAATTGAGTCCGCCCACCAAAAAAATTCAAGTGTCTCTCCCCCCCCCCCCCCCCCCCCGGAAAAAACTGCCCAGCTGTAGTTTAAATTTAGAGTTTCACCCAAATACCGAAAAACCACCCCAGAAAGATCGTAAACAGGACATGCACCGACCTACACGTGCAGTCGCTTTGTCTCATCTATTCTAATTGCGGCCAGTAATTATCCGTACCACATGACCGTGTCGTTATCTACTGGCGGGGGATTCGCCCCGCAGGCAGAGCCGCAGGAATCCGCGCCCCGCCCCTGATTATGTGAGAGGGGCCCTTCTCTTAACGTACCGTGTCGCCAAGCAAGCACGAGTAGAGAAAATCTATTACAGCTCTACGCTACACCCAATGGTATGTTCGTATTACTAGCAGAGAAAAAACTAATTTTCTGGGTAGTAAAGCTAAAAAAAATATTTTGATTTGTTTTTACTGCTACTCCCGAATATGAATCTTTTCATGAATTGCAAAGTATTATAGCCTACTTTTTTGCTTTCTTAATTAATGTAAGAGGTTTGATGCAGAGTGTAGTACTTTTAGAGACCCCACTCTTATCTCCAAACAATGTATTGTAATATCGATTATCTATCTGTGTATCCTATTCGCATTTTACGGCTTTTAACCGTCTTGAAACCTTGACTCAAAATTCGAGTTTTGCGCGTTATTTCACAATTTTACTGTTTCCGTGTTCGGATCTCGCGGCTAATAGGGTAGATGAATTTCGCTTGTTTATGTGACCTTGGCAAATACAGGGATAGTTTGGTTTTTTTATACCCATCCACCTTGAAACGTACTACGTACGTGATTCGATATTCGAACTCGAGACTTTCTGGTTAGCATTCGTGAGCTCTACCGGCCGACCACGTCGTCCTATAAAGATGCCACTGTAGAACAACTAAATCCCCCCCACCACCCTCCCGTCCCCACGGACTCTCCCTATAAAAAAACAAAAACCTGTGTACATTGTCAAAACAACGCGCTAAATATATTTTAGATTAAAATAATATATTTAGGTTTATTATAATAATTTTAGGTTTGAAATAATATATTTAAGTTTACTATAATAAATTTAGGTTTGAAATAATATGATTAGGTTTAAAATAATATATTTAGGTTTACTATAATACATCTAGGTTTGAAATAACATATTTAGTTTTAAAATATGTTTATAAAAAATAAAACGTATTTAGCCACTAGCGTTTCGAACTTGTTGACACCCCCCCCCCCCCCTCCATGCACACAATTGTGTTTTAAAAGCGAGCAGTAAACCACCGGGGGACATAACTCTGTTGAAAGTTTTCAGTGCAGTTATCCCATTTTATTAATGTTAAACACGCCAGCGTTTATTCATAGACCCAATCGTCTGAGAAAGAGAGAACTTCGAACATACACGACAGAAAGATGGAACAAGATATTTATTAGGGGAAAATTACTGTGTCGGTTTTTTGTTTCATCCGAAATAGAAGCGTCTTATTTTTGTTTTTAAATTTTGGTTTCTTTCCAAGAAATGTAATTCCCTTTTCAGTTTCGCATGCGAATTGTTTGAATGATACCAACACATGTGTTATATGTTACGGGCGTTGTTGTATGTTAGAGGTAGACTACCAATAACCGAGGGTAAATCAGTATCAATATGTAGTGTAAATTAAGCGCAGAACCAACTCAAACAAGACGAAGTGTAACGCCAAATAAAACAACGTCATACCTGCTCCAAAGCAAAGTATACATATTTTAAATCTAATACCAAAGCTAGTCAATCCAACAAATTTAACACTAAATTAACAAAAAAAAATATATAGCCAAACCTAACAAAACTAACCACAGACACTCAATGGCGTAGCCAGGATCGTCTCAAGGGAGTGGGGGGGGGGGGGGTGTTCCAATTTTTACCCGGGTACAAACTTTCGATTTGCAGCCGCCCCCCCTCAAACTTTCGATTAGCACCCCCCACCCCTAAAACTTTCGATTTGCACCCCCACCCCTAAAACTTTCGATTTGCACCCCCCCCCACTCCAACTTTCGATTTGCATCCCCCTTCAAACTTTCAATTTGCATCCCCGTCATACTTTTTATCTATATACCGAAGGGTCTATGGGGGGGGGGGGGGGAAATTACCCCCCCCCCCCCCTAACCCCCCCCCCCCCACTCATGCCTACGCCTCTGCAGACACTACTTAAATTAAATAAAAACATTTTTCTTCTACTTACTAGAGATGGCACCCCTCCCCCGACTTACCAGTATTAGCAGTCGCCCGTCCCCCAACCTACCAGTGATACCACCCCTCCCACCTACCTACCAGAAATACTACCCGCCACCTACCAGTGTTACCACCCCCTACCTACCAGTGATACCACCCCTCCCCCACCTACCAGTGATACCACCCCTCCCCACCTAACAGTGATACCACCCTCCCCTACCTACCAGTGATACCACCCCTCCCCCACCTACCAGTGATACCACATCCCCCCCTCCTTTTCGCACCTGACTACAACACCTCGATTTGTTTACAACTCCCCGATAGATTAACTCAACATTAACACCCATTCAAACCTCGTCATAGCCTCGATACTGCTCACTCTCACGGTGGTCTAGACAGCCTCACCACACGCCGTTCTCACCCCCATCCCACCCAATGTTCCCTCTGTGTGGTTTCACGTCCGTAGTTTTGTACCTGCCTGCAGTCTTTTTGTAAATCTCACATATTCTTGTATACGACTTTTAGAAGACCGCGCACACAAAATACACGTTGCTCACTTGCTATCTACCTTTTCCACATTAGAGGGAACTTTGCCTACCACTTTAACTCTCCAAGCCAACATAGCGTCTTGTCCTTAAAACTAGCCCCTCCCCTTTTGCCCAATCCACTTCTTCAATCCCGAGACTTATCAAGGCCACATACCCCCACATACGACAAAGAAAAAAAAAGTACGCGTCGCACGGAGTAGATCATTAATTCATACCCCAGGATAACTAATAAAATGTCTACTTCATAGCCAGAGCAACGCCTGGCCGGAACGGCAAGCCGATATGCCTAATAAAAAACAAACAACACTATGAAAAACCAGCGCTGACTAAACAGATGTCTTGTTTTGACAATTCTCCACACCTCGACCCCGGGCTCCATATTGTGTCTGGGTACTGGCGCCAGGGAGGGGGAGGATGACAATGGCCGTGTGGCCCAGGGGAACAATGGCCATTTTCTGGTGTCATCCTTTGTCACACACACGCGCGTTTTCTCTCGCACACACACACGCTCTCTCTCGCACTCTCACGCAGTGAATATTGTTTAAATAAAACGCGACGTTTTTTTAATAGACTATACATCTAGTAAAAAAAATGGCGATCAAATAAAAAGATAATAAACAACAATGTGAATTTTTAAGTCAAGCGATAACTTCACTACACCACAATTTAAATGCCTGGGTTAAAAAGTCGTGTTGGAATGGGCAAGTGTTCCTGGTTCAAATATTATGAAAATTATACAATCTTTAGCGCGGTATTATTGCTGGTAAAGGCATATGTTTGTTCTTGGGTTAGTGTAACTACCACTACGGACAACACATTTTGTTTGTATTACAATTATGAGATCAAAGTTCTTGTAGAACTTACTAGCCCTGATGGGTACCTGAAGGTATAGGGCGGCTAGTCAAAGTGCTGACCACACCGTCTCTTCATATGCCTAGGTGACAGAAACAGACAAACTCTACTTCATCTGCAATAATGGAGTACAACGTTCGAAAGATTAACGACGAGGCCATAGCAATAAAATCTCTGTCGTTAAGGGCGGTGGTTAATTCTTTGGTGTGTACTACTCTCGTCTTTAGCAATACATCTTTTTATCACAGTTGTGAGGGTGTTGACTTAATATCTGCATTTTCAAACCAGGTAAACTAAGACATGATGATAAAATAATCAATCTGATGTAGTCAATATGAATTCATTCGATCGGATTTTAAAAACCAAAGATGTATAGAAACATAAAAGAGATATATGAGCCAATCAGTTTTTTTTTTTATTGATAAGAATGTGACCGACCAGTGACAGTAGTACTAATTTTCCATAATAATTTTTTTTCGAAATTAAAAATTTGTTTAACACAATTTTTTATAAACATTTTTTTTCAACTTATCCCAGAGAAAAACAATGTGGTATTGTGTGATCTCTAACGAAATCAGATAACCACATTATGTTGTGGTACAGAAGATTACCAATGTAAACAAGAGGAGATAAACGCGCGTTGGATTGTCCCGTCGCAAATCTGGACGGCACGGGTCGAACTACTAGTACAGCGAGAGATGCTCTCAGCGGCGAATGCGTATTTCATTACATGCAAGTACGTCAGCCATTCGCCTCCTGCCTGAACGCTCTTCACTTTGGCGTTTCACTTAAGCTCTTGACTAGCAGGTGTTCCACCCCCCCCCCCCACCCCATCCCTACCATTCCGTCCAGAGACCCCCTTCGACTCCTACCCAAAACCACTGCTAAAACTTTGTTCGTTACCGAGCTTAAAAAAAACGAAAAAAAAAAATCAACTAAGCGCCGACAACTTAATTAGCAGCCAGAATACAGCCTGAAATGTATACCATGTTCTATATATAGACAGCCCCTGTCAAAAATCTCCTCGCGATAATTTCAACTTGATTATCCCGCTCTCGAGATTACAAGGGCGTCTCAAGACGCTGACGTCACATAGAGCCTTATAATTGAATCAGGTTCTCGGTTATTTTCTGACTGAATTACGTCACTTCCAATAAAAACTTGCGTTATGAAATGAAGTTGGGGGAAAAAGAATAGTGAAAAAAAAATTCTTTTTTTTTCGTGATTTTTTGGAAATTTTCTAAAAGAACTAATGGGGAAATCTCAAATGTCAACTCAAAAGTAATTAAGTACATTTATGTATGATATAATATGCTTTAAGTATTGTGGAAATGTACACGGATTAACGATTTAAAATACGATTATGAAAGTTAAAAAAAAAAAAAAAAAAAATAATTTCCCTAGTGATTACAACTAGTTAAAAGAGTAGAGATAAACCATGACTCGACAACTTTATAAAATGTAAACTTGGCAAAATAATCTTGTCACCCGAAACTTGGCAAGATGGTCAGGAAAA